GTGCTCATGTTGTTTATTCTCAAGCCTCCCCAGGAAAGGGGGTGTAGGGCTTGGGGGGATATTAGGAGGGAGTAAGAATGCCAAGGGGTCCTTTCCCTGAGTTTTGTCTAATCACTTGGTGCAGCGTTAGCTAATACAAGGTACAAGGGAGAATGTGTGTCTTGGGGAGTTTTTAACCTAAGCTGGTAGAAATAAACGTAGGGGGTCTTTCCTGCAGGTCCCCACGTCTGTACCCTAGAGTTCAGAGTGGGGAGGGAACCCTGACAGGAGGACTTCATAGAGCAGGGGTGGGTAAACTTTTTGGCCCAAGGGCCACATCAGGGTTGCAAAACTGTATGGAGGGCTGGGTAGGGAAGGCTGTGCCTCCCCAAACAGCCTGGCCCCCGCCCCCTATCCACCCCCTCCCACTTCCGACCCCCTGACTGCCTCCCTCAGAACCTCCACCCCATCCAACCGCCCCCTACTCCCTGTCCCCTGACTACCCCCCCAGGACCCCACCCCCTATCCAACACCCCACCCCCCGCTACTTGTCCCCTAACCGCCACCCCGGGACCCGCTGCCCCTTATCCAACCCCCCCGCCCCCTTACCATGCCACTGAGAGTGGTAGGACAGGCTCATTGGAAAGCCTGGGAGGTGGGCGGGCGCAAGCCATGCAGCCCGGCAGGAGCAGCGGGCCAGAGTGCTGGCAGCGTGGCGCACCGAGGCTGCGCAGGATGGGGGAAGGCGGGGGAGGGGCCGGGGGAAGCCTCCCCAGCTGGGAGCTCAGGGGCCAGGCAGGACGGTCCCGCGGGCTGGATGTGGCCCGCGAGCTGTCATTTGCCCACCTCTGTCACAGAGGTAGGGCAGACTGGATGAAGTGGGTGAAGTGGGTTTTAGCCCATGAAAGCTTATGCCCAAATAAATTTGTTAGTCTCTAAGGTTCCACAAGTACTCCTGTTCTTTTTGGATCAGACCAGGGGTCTATATTGCACTAACTGTGCATGTTTAACCCTTTGAGGCTCTGTTCTGGCTGGACTGGCAATAGAAGGAGCAGGAGGCCCCGCAGCAAGGCTGTGGCACTGTAACTGCAGCTGATGTGTGTGAAACCAGAGAGGACCGGGATGTCATTAGGACAGTTCTCGGTCGGAATGGAAAGCACAGAGCTGGGTTACACACTCACCTGACCAAGCAATCACTGCGGTAAGGAGAACTGCAAGTACTGTAGCTTCAACAGCAGCTACGATTTTCCATGCACCACGTCTCCTCACCTTGGAGTCAAACCAGTGACCTATCAAAGAACAAGCCATCAATACTATCACTGGGCTGCTCTACAGGTAAAGGTGGGTTACTGGGCATAGGAACATAGGACTTGTCAGACTGGATCAGACCATTGGGTCCATCTCGCCCGGTGTCCTGTCTCTGACCACGGCCGACACCAGCTGCTTCAGAGGAAAGGGCAAGAACCCTGCGGTAGGAGATATGAGACAACGTGCCCCCAGGGACAATTCCCTCCTGACCCCATTAGTTAAAGGCTGCCTTTAGCCCCGAAGCAAAAGACATGGACAAACCAGCCTAGTACAGTTAAGACGCCACCACCATGAAGCTTGACCCATTTCTAGAAGTCACCCTGCTTTGAAACTGGGACAGTCTCCCATCTCCCGTCGCAGAGGCAGAGTTCTGACCATTCCCCACCCACTTCAACCTTCTGTAGGACATCACTGTGGACTCAGGGGTCTTTAACCCACTCAGGATTTTCATGAGTGCCACTGGCCGGCCTAACCTCCTCCCAGATCTTCAGAGGTGGATCTGGGACGGGAAGGTTGCATAGCCTATAAGAGGATTGTGATCCAATGTCAGAGGAGATGGGGTCTGGGAGAAAGATTTTCAAAAGTCTGGATAATTCAGGTAACTGCTTGGGCTGGGAGTTCCAAAGTGCCTAAGGGAGTTAGAAGCACAAATCCCCTTTGAAAATCTCACCCTTGAGTTTGTGGATGCTTGTTAGAGCTGAACTCTGAGCTAACAGACGTTCTCCCATCCCTTGTGGTGCTGAGACACCCCTTGTGATCAGTGGCAGCAGCTGCAGTAGTGAGTGACTTTGGAAAGCACACAATGGATGCTGCCTGAGGGACAGAGCGATGCGACCTGAGCAGGAGGTGAGCTACAAAAACCCTGGTGATATAAAGGGACTTGGAGAGTTGAACTCTGCTAACTGGAAAGAGATTCAGGGCACATCAGAAGCTGGATTTCTAGCAGACTGCCAGGCTGATATAACAATCCAACAATGCGTGTTGCATTCCCCTCGAGCAGCTGGTCCACATAGAGGATAACAGCCTACAACTGCTAAACACCTACAGAATTACAGCTGTAGCTAAGGTATTTGCAACCTATACTGTGGTGCTAAAGGTGCCAGGTTCTAAACCTTCTTGCCATGGGATTAGGCACTTGGAACTGGACTGTGTGGGCTGAGGGCTTCCCTGGTTGCAAACACAGGGGCTAGCAAGCCTGGGTGTGCTGGAAGCAGGAAACTTGGAGAAGTGCGAGTGACCCTGGGAGGAAGCAGAGAGACAGAGCTCTCTGCGCACAGAGCTTGCTGGAGGGGAAGACATGGGGATTTCTGAGCAAGGAGAAGGCCTCCTGCTGTTTGTTGCTACAGTGTTAAGGGAGACAGGACTGTGTGAGCCTTCTTTGTAAATAGACAAGATTAATTATCTCTAGCTTTTATCCTGTGCTGTACAAAGGAGGTCACGATCATTATATGATTTTATAGATGGGGAAACTGAGGAACAGAGTTTTGAAGTGACTTGTCCAAGGTCACCTGGCAGGCCAGTATAGGGTGATCAGACGTTCCGATTTTATTGGGACTGTCCCAATATTAGGGACTTTGTTTTCTATAAGACCCTGTTACCATTCACGCCCAGTCCCTTTTGTTCAGCCTGAAGGAGGGTGCTTGGCAAATCCACTGTCTTTAATGAGGTCTGTGATTGTCTTTGGATCAAAGACTCACTTGATGGGAGCCATTAGCAGCTTTCAGCATAACAATTTAGGACCAAAATACCCTGAAGATCATCCTTTACCTATGTCTCTCTCTGGCTCAATGTTTATGAAGTCAGTTAAATTATTCTGTCTGTCAGTAGGGATAGCTTCTTGCTTCTGACAGCTGTAGAGAAAAAAATATATTGATACATTCCAGTTATTTGTTATTGTGTGAGAGCTGGTGGAGAATTCCAATTTTGACAATAAAGTAAATGTGTGTGTGGGGGGGTGAATTGATGAAATTTTTGTTGTTTCCCCAATTTTTGATTAAATTTAGAGCTGGTCAAAATATTTTAAAAGTCTTGATTAAAAACTTTGCTTGGAATGTTGACACACACACACGCAAAAAAAGAGAGAAATCCCAAATCCTCCCCCGCCCCCCAACACACACACAAAATTTTTACCCGTTTTTTAACCAGCTCTATATTCTGTTTCATGCAGTCAATGCAAAGTATGTGGGATGCTGAAAAATTGTTCATTCCAAAAGGTTACGGCCAGTGTGTGTCCAACAAGACTCAGCAGTGCAGGGAAGGGACATAAGTAGACTTGGTCAAGTTTTCCTACTGAACAATTTGAAAATGCTGATTACACAAAATCAAAATGTTTCACACGACTGTTGATTTTGTCAAAATTTTCTATGGGAATGACTGACATTTTGCCTTTTGTTTACATTATAATATATTGCAGAATCACAGAAATGTAGGGGTGGAAGGAATCTCAAGAGGTCACGTAGTCCATCCCCTTGCACTGTGGCAGGACCAAGTAAACCTAGGCCATCCCTGATAGGCATTTGTCCAACCTGGTCTTAACCACCTCCAGTGACGGGGGTTCCACAACCTCCCTTGGAAGCCTGTTCCAGAGCTTCACTCCCCTGAGAGTTAGAAAAGAATTCATATGATGTTATATCCATGATAGAGTCTAAAAAAAAATGTTCTGACCTTACTGAAATGTTTCTGTTCAATAAGGTTGTTTTGATATTTCCAAAATGAAATCTCAGACATTTTCTTTCACAGTACATTTTTAAATTTCGACTTTTCATTCCAATTTGGAACAAAGACAAATTTTGAAATCTCAATTCTCCATGGTTTGGAAATTCCATACACCGTACCCCCACTAGAACGCGGGGTTTTGGATCCATGCGCGGTCCTGCGTTAACGCGGGGACCGCATTATAGCGGGGACCGCGTTACCATGGATTCCAATGAAGGTAATTAAATTTGGGATCCATGCGCGGTCCCGTGCTATAACCGAATTCGCGCTATAAAGACGCGTGCTCTAGCGAGGGTCAACAGAATTTCAACCGGCTTTAGACCTACGTTACTGAGCTAGAATAATGATGCTTCTCCACTCTGAAAAGTGATGCTGTAAAATTGGTCCTCTCTCACTCACACAGAGTCTGTTTCTGGGATGTACCAGAGTCAGAGCTGTTCACTTCAATGGCTAGAATAAATGTGTATTGCATCATACTCCTGCTAGCCCTACAGAATACAGTTCCACTAATGGACATGGAATGTCAATACTGATTATTATTATTCAGCTGTCTCTTTTGTGATGTATAGAGGTAAACAGGAAGACAAAGCTGGAACTCAAGCTATGTAGAAGACTTTGTTTGAGTCTATAGTTGTGGCTGTTTAATACATTCTTCCTATTGTGAGTCTATGCATCATGGCACAGAAGTACTGTTTAAGAGTAGGAGGGAGCAGGGCCGGCTTTAGGCCGATTCAGCCGATTCGGCTGAATTGGGCCCCGCGCCAAGAGGGCCCCACGCTGCAGCTCTCCACCCCGCCCTCAGCTCACTTCCCCCTCCTCCCCTCCCCTGAACGCCCTGCCCCCTCCCCTGCTTCCCACGAATCAGAGATTCGCAGGAAGTCTGAAAAGAAGCAGGGGCGGGCAGGCAGCACCAGGTAAGCTGGGGTAGTGGGGGCGCGAGAAGGGCTCCGGGGAGGCGCGGCCCGTTCCCACCGAGCACGCAGGCCCCAGCGGCTCTGGCCCCCGCGGCGCGGCTCCGGACCGGCCCCCGCAGCGCGGACTCCGGCCCGGCGCGGCCCCCGCGGCGCGGCTCGGGTCGGACCCAAGCCCGGCAACCCCGGCCGGAGCGTGGCTCGATTCCTGGGGGCGGGGCTTGCAGCAAGCCCCGCCCCCAGGAATCGGGCCCCACTCTTGCTAAAGCCGGCCCCGAGGGAGTAAACAAGTAACAGGAAAATGTGTGTGGTGGGATGGAAAATCCTAGCAGGATAATGAGAAATATTTTAAATTATGAAGTCATCTCGCCAAGTGAAGGGATCGGAGCCCCAGTGCAGAAGTCAAACTGGACAAAGCCCTGGAGAACAGACTGTAGGGAATGCACTTGAATTGTCCAGGTTTGGTACAGGAAGGATGGATGGGCTATGATTTATATAGGAATTAGAGTTTATTAGACCTTATGGATTAATCCTGTTAGCCACTGTGTGCTGGAGCAGTCCTACCTTCAATCAATTCCTAACCCCCCTTTCCAACATAGGGCTCACCCACAGCTCACTGGTGTCAATGGAAAGACTCACACTGACGTCAGTGAGCATTGGACCCACCCTGTAGTGAAGTGTGAGTGTGATGGAGAGTAGAAGACACTTACCTGTCTGAGGTACATTTGCCATCCTAGAAGGAAAAGAAAACAAGTCACCCCATGGCATCTCTGTTCACAGGTTGACTGTTACAAGAAATTATACATGGTTTGGTACCTTTGGTCAGGAATTTTCCATCAACATATTTCAATTTCAGTGAAAATTATTAAATTTTCTCTTGGGAAAATCAAAATGAAATATCTTGTTTTGGGTTGATTTGACCCAAATTGAAACCTTCCGTTTGGTGAACTGAATCAAAATAAACCAGGAGTCCTTGTGGCACCTTAGAGACTAACAAATTCTGCGTGGACTCCTCCTGAAGGTCGAAACAACAGACTGGACGTCTACACAGAGTGTGTCCGCTGACGTGCACGGGCTGAAATTGTGGAAAAGCAGCAACACTTGCCCCATAACCTCAGTGTGCAGAACACAACGCCATCCACAGCCGCAGAAACAACTCAGAGATTATAATCAAAAAGGCTGACAAAGGAGGCGCTGTCGTCATCCTGACTAGGTCAGAATAAGAACAAGAGGCTGCTAGACAACTCTCGGACACCACATTCTACAGGCCATTACCCTCTGACCTCACTGAGGAGTACTAAAAGAAACTACACCATCTGCTCAAGAAACTCCCTAAAGAAGCACAGGAACAAATCTACACTGACACACCCCTAGAGCCCCGACCAGAGGTATTCTACCTGTTACCCAAAATCCATAAACCTGGGAATCCTGGATGCCCCATTATCTCAGGCATCCTGACAGCAGCATTATCTGACTATGTAGACTCTCTCCTCAGGCCCTACGCTACCAGCACTCCCATATATCTTCGAGACACCACTGACTTCTTGAGGAAACTACAATCCTTTGATGATCTTCCAGAATACACCATCCTAGCCACTACGGATGTAGAAGCCCTCTACACCAACATTCCACACAAAGATGGACTACAAGCCATCAGGAACAGTATCCTCAATACCATCATGGCAAACCTGGTGGCTGAATTTTGTGACTTTGTCCTCACTCACAACTATTTCAGATTTGGGGACAATTTATACCTTCAAGTCAGTGGCACTGCTATGGGTACCCGCAACATGCCCACATTTTTATGGCTGACGTAGAACAACGCTTCCTCAACTCTCATCCCCTTACACCCCTACTCTACTTGCGCTACACTGATGACATCATCATCTGGACTCATGGGAAGGAGGCCCTTGAGGAATTCCACCAAGATTTCAATGATTTCCACCCCACCATCAACCTCAACCTGGACAAGTCCACACAAGAGATCCACTTCCTGGACACTACAGTGCAAATAAGTGATGGTCACATAAACACCACCCTATACTGGAAACCTGCTGACCGCTGTACTTACCTACATGCCTCCAGCTTCCATCCAGACCACATCACATGATCCATTGTCTGCAGCCAAGCTCTAAGATACAACCACATTTTCTCTAATCCCTCAGACAGAGACAAACACCTAGAGAATCTCTATCAAGCATTCTTACAACTGCAATACCCATCTGGTGAAGTGAAGAAACAGATTGAGAGAGCCAGAAGGGTACCAAGAAGTCACCTACTACAAGACAGGCCCAACAAAAAAGTAACAGAACGCCACTAGCCATCACCTACAGCCCCCAACTAAAACCTCTCCAGCGCATCATCAGAGATCTACAACCTATCCTGAAGGACGATCCCTCACTCTCACAGACCTTGGGAGACAAGCCAGTCCTCGCTTACAGACAGCCCCCCAACCTGAAGCAAATACTCACTAGCAACTACACAACAAAAACACCAACCGAGGAACCAAACCCTGCTACAAACCCCAGTGCCAACTCTGTCCACATATCTATTCAAGTGACACCATCACAGGACCTAACAACATCAGCCACACCATCCAGAGCTCATTCACCTGCACGTCTACCAATGTGATATATGCCATCATGTGCCAGCAATGCCCCTCTGCCATGTACAGTGGCCAAACCGGACAGTCTCTACGCAAAAGAATTAATGGACACAAATCTGACATCGGGAATTATAACATTCAAGAACACTTCAACCTCTCTGGTCACTCAATAACAGACCTCAAAGTGGCAATTCTTCAACAAAAAAAACTTCAAAAACAGACTCCAACATGAAGCTGCAGAACTGGAATTAATTTGCAAACTGGATACCATCAGATTAGGCCTGAATAAAGAACGGGGAGTGGCTGGGTCATTACAAAACCTAAACTTAATTTCCCCAATACTAATTTCTCCCTACTGTTACTCTCACCTTCTTGTCAACTGTCTAATGGGCCACTCTCTTACCACTTCAAAAGTTATTTTTCCTCCCTTGGTATCCTGTTAGACTAACCTCACATTTAGTAAAGCACCCCCATCCTTTCATGTATTTATACATATGCCTGTATTTTTTACTTCATACATCTGATGTAGTGGGTTCTAGCCCATGAAAGTTTATGCCCAAATAAATTTGTCAGTCTCTAAGGTGCCATCAGGACTCCTGGTTTTTTTTTGTTTTTTTTGTTTTTTTTTGCTGCTACAGACTGACACGGCTACCACTGAAACCTGAATCAAAACATTTTGTTTTGAGTCAGTAAGACATTAAACTGCATCTGCCTCACATGCTCCAATGCCTCATGGGAGTTGTAGTTCAGTTGCCTCATGTCCACATTCTCCCCTGTAGGCCAGGCACATGGGTGGACTACATCTCCCACGATGCACTGCATTCCCACCTTCGACTGAGATGCATCATGAGATGTAGTCCAAAATGGGGACCAGGCCCATAAGGGAGAATGGGGGCATGAAGCACCCAACTACAGTTCCCATGAGGCACTGCAGTCATCAAAGGTAGATGCAGTTTAATGTCAAAACTCACTGGAAATTAAACGTTTGGACATTTCCAAATCAAAATTTTTCAGAACTTTCCATTCAGTGAAAAAAAAAAATGGATATGTTGACTTTTCATCCTGATTCAAGATGGAAACAAATGTGGAACTATCAAACAGAAATACTGACTTTCACTCAGCCCTACCGCAAACATTTCATTGACATAGTTAGATTCCACATGTAGCACCTTATCACCCTCCACAGAGAATCGATTTACACTAGTAACATCCCTAGTGGACTCAAAGGGCCAGATCCTCAACTGGTGTAGACCACAGAAGCGTCACTGACTTCAATCCATTTGTCTTCAATTGAGTTACGCCCATTTACACCTACTGCGGATCTGCTCTAGACTTTCTGACGACCACTAACGCCCATTCCTGGCACCCAGCTCCCCGAACGGCCACAGAATACAATACCTCATAGTCCAGCAGGCAAACAGAAGTGTCCTCTTGTTTAAGGTTCTCGGGAACATCCTCCGTTGGGTCTTCACCACTCACTTGTCTCTGAACCTCAGACGAGACGTTTTCAAGAGGACCCAATTTCACTGGGAAAAAGACAGACTGAGACTCAGAACCATCGTTTGTGCCCCATTTACCAGTGAGCTGTTTGGAGCAGGGCCTGTCATTGACACAAAGGGTCGCTGACCTGCTTGGCCTCCAGGCGCTACCAGAATCTAAATGTTAAACAATCAATAAGGAAGAGTTCCAGCCCAGTTCATTGCTGTGGTAGAATATTGTTACTATCGGCTCCCGAGGGCCGGTTACGCTGTTCCTGTGTTTGGGGGCGAACAGGGGGCTGAGCATTAAGCTGTCTTTGCACTCCCCGTATTTGGGTTTACGCAGGGGCTGCCCACTGGAGGATTAGATCAGGATATAAAGGGTTACAATAGCTCGGCTAAAGCAAATACATGCTTTGCAGTTTGTGTGAAATGCAGGGCCTGTTAGCAGCAGTGGAGAGGCCTTGAAAGAATGTGGCTTAGTTGGAAAAATTGAACTGAAAGGTAACTGATAAGATGTGGGGGGAGCAGTGGCAGATTTGGGGCCTATGGAAAAATCTCCCCCTGCCACATCCCCAGGCTGGAGCTGCCGTTACCCCAGGGCTTTTCCAGTTTCGGGGCTGCAGTGGGGGGGCCAGGGCCTCGGGCGGGGGAAGAGGCAGAGTGGGGGTGGAACGGGGGCAGGGCAGTGGAGAAGGGGAGGGATGGAGTGGGGACATGGGCGGGGCTGCACTTGGGGGGCCAGGGCCTCGGGCGGGGGAAGAGGCGGAGTGGGGGTGGAACAGGGGCAGAGCAGTAGGGAAGGGGCTGAATGAGGACGGGGCTGTGGAGAAGGGGGGGAATGGGGTGGGACCATGGTCAGAACAGGGGTGGGGCTGTAGAGAAGGGGCGGGGCTGCAGGCAGAAGGGGCGGAACAGGGGTGGGGCTGCAGGCTTAGAGCTCCAGCCAGGGCCGAGAGCTCGGCCACAGTCCCAGCCGAGGCTGAGAGCTTGATCCTGGCTGGGGCCATGGGAGAGGCAGCTGAGAGCAGCGAGCAGGGACGGGAGTGGGGGCGTGGCCTCATCTGGAAAAGGCGGGGCCTCGGTTGGAAGAGGTGGGGCAGGGGCGAGCCTCCCCAAGGGAAAGCTTCACCTGCTGTCTGTGCACCCAATTAAAGGCGCCTTTAAGCTTTTCACCAGGACTTGAGTGTGACTGGGAATCAAACCCTCAAGTGATCACTACTGGGAACCACACTAGCAAATATTTTAAAATTCAAAGGCCCACCAGGAATACTTTTATTAATTTTTAGTAGTAGCAGTAACATTACCGTCACAACTTTACCTCTGAGATTGTTCAGCAGATCACACAGAACTTTCCGGCTTTCCGAGAGAGCCTGCACTCTGCTCTTCACTTCAGTCAAAGAATCAACAGGCGCCTCCTCTTCCCCTTTCACCTGCTCACACCTAACGCAGACAGAACGCGGTTCCTGTCAGAATGCTCCATCCTAATTGCTCAATCCACCCAGCGGGAAGCTAGAACCGGGGCGAGCACAAGCTCGGAGCATGCTGGCCCGGTACGTTATTTAGAGCATCTAACAATGTAAACTTGGGAGTTAAAAGGAGCTAATATAGAACATGATTAAGGCCCTACCAAATTCACCATCCATTTTGGTCATTGTCACGGTCATGGGATTTTAAAAATCGTAAATTTCATGATTTCAGCTATTTAAATCTGAAATGTCTCTGTATTGTAATTGGAGGGGTCCTGACCCAAAAAGGAGTTGTGGGGGGGGTCTCAAGGTTATTGGGGGGGCGGGTTGCAGTACTGCTACCCTTACTTCTGCGCTGCTGCTGGTGGCGGCGCTGCCTTCAGAGCTGGACGGCCAGAGGGCGGTGGCTGCTGGCCGGGATCCCAGCTCTGAAGGCAGCGTCGCCACCAGCAGCAGCGCAGAAGTAAGGATGGCCTGGGCCTGGTGTGGTATTTCCACGCTTACTTCTGTGCTGCTGCCCGCAGAGCTGGGCCCTCAGTCCACAGCCACCATCTCCAGCCGCCCCGTTCTGAAGGCAGCAGTGCAGAAGTAATTGTGGCAATACTGAGACCCCCCTCCCCAAAATAACCTTGTGACCCCCCTGCAACTCCCTTTTGGGTCAGGACCCTCAATTTGAGAAATGCTGGTCTCTCCCCCATGAAATCTGCATGGTACAGGGTAAAAGCACACAAAACACCAGACTTCATGATGGGAGACCAGATTTCAGTGTCTGTGACACATTTTTCATGGCTGTGAATTTGGTAGGGCCCTAAACATGAGGAGTTCTCACCTCGGGGCCCCTTGCTCAGCCCCCGCCTGGGCCTCCTGTCCTCAAGTCAGGGCCACTAGATGCTCAAGATGATCTTTACTGAGCAGACTGTTCACCCTTGATGTCCCATATCATAACCCTAGTATTCAACCCCACAATGAGCAGCATCTTCATTCCTGGATTCATGCTTCAGAGGACAAGCCAGAGGGCTAGATGGGCCCTTGGTCTGATCTGCTCTGGTAATTCCTACATTCTGGGGATGCTTTCCCTGTTCCATCCTCTTAGCCACTCGGAGGATGAGGTGGGAGGGGCATTATACATTCCCAGCTGGGTTTTGCACCCTTTCCCAGTGTGATGAAGCATGAGGCTGACTAAGGAGACACGTACCTGCTTAAGGTGCTGTCAATATCCTAGAAAGGGAAAAGGAAACAAAAAGAAACTCAGCTCATCGGCCACAAACCTAATATCCCTCCTAGGCAGAGGACTCACTTTGCCTTTAATTTTGGTTCCTATAGGAAATTGGGCATGTTTGAAAACTTCATGCATCACTCTTTTCTCTCCCCAGCTCTGCCAGAGCCCTGTTGGGTGATCCTGGGCAAGTCACTTCCTCTCCTTGTGTCTCAGTTTCCCCAGATGTAAAATAGGGATATAGGGATAGTGATCCTGACCTTCCTTCAGAAAGTGCTGTGGCATCTACTGATGGAAAGCTCTAGAGAAGAGCCAGGAGTTATTAAGTATTATTACTGTTTATGTCAGAGCTAGTTGAATTTTTTTAGATTTTGGCCTTTAGATGACATGGGAAATTTTTGCCGAATTTCCCCCTCTTATTTGACCAACCGTGCAGTAGGTGAGAATTTTTTTAATTTTGAATTTAAATATTAAAAATCATAATCAAGGAAAAATGTATGATGCCACTCCTTCCCCCCCCCCCTTTTAATTCAGCCATCTCTACCATTTATCTAAGCTGTCCGCCTCCATCTGTCCGTCTATGGCAGGGCTGTCAAATATCTGGTCTGCTTGATATAGTAATGGGGGCTGCATGGCATATGCAGATACTGCAGAATCTCAGCCTTGATTAGGAAAAAAAAGGTACGTTTACAGCCTTTGTGGATGCTAAAAAAACTTTCTAACGGTGATAAAAGTGTGACCAGTGGAGTGAGGTCTACAGAGAGTCTGAAACAATAGCTCTGAGGGGAAAGAACTCCCTCCTTTAGTCTCACTGGTTGTTGACCCTGAAGCCTAATGATTACAATTTGACATCAGCATTAACTATTTCATTGCTAATCATTTTAACAGATGAGATAGAGAAGGGGGCCAGAGAAGCTCACAGAGAGAATTGGAAATTATGACAGCAGGAAGTGTATCTCTGTGTGTGAATGCGGGATGGAATCAAAACATCTTGTGTGTCAGACTGTTGGATAGAATCAGACTCTGTGTGTGTGTGTGTGTGTGTCAGTCACAATTTGGTGCAATATATAAATATCCAGTTACGGTTTTTTACTGCATTTAATACCATGGCACCTCAGACACATGCTTGTTCTGTATATAATACACACCGGGCCACATTCAAACACAGTGTAAACAGTTGTGCTGCACTGAAGAAGTGAGGT